TTTCTAAAAGAGACTCCTTTCCCTTCTATTCATTGGCAGGAAAATCAAATGTGACATATACTGCTTATGATTGAACAAAGTCGAACTTTTACATTTACTGGAAGAATCTGCCTCAATCTGATTAATTAGCAAAACACAGATTGCTTGTTTAGCTCCCTGTGTCCTAAACATCCTGGAATTCCCTGGTTTCCCTTAGTCTTTCTTCTGAGAAACGTGATTTACAACACAGTGGTTCAATAAACAAAAAAGTACATCCAGTTCCAAGTGATTGGCCATCCAATTTACTTTGAACCAAGCTGATTCTCAGCCCAAACAGAGACTCACATCTCTCTTGCACAAAGTGTCTTTCCATACCCCCAGTAGCGCATGCTCGGTAGACTTGCTAGATGGGCACACTGCCCAAAGCAGAGCCTCCACTTTTTGAAGCCCCCAGCCTGATTCAGGAGCTCCAGGCTCCTACGCCAGGAGCCAGCCCCTATGCCAAGAGTCAGCCGAAAGTGTTCAGACTAGCCAACAGTTGCTCCCAGGGATGGGAACTTGCAGCAGGGAGACTCCAGGTCAGAAGAGAAGCTGGGACAGGTGTCACTCAAATAAAGACGAGGGGTAGTGATGACGTGAGCTTCTGCTTGGCATACCTGCCCTTCTTGGCACACAGAGGTGCCCACCTCCAGGACATGTGCACTTGAGAAAGGCCTGGAATTACCAGCATTTGGACAAGTGAGAGGGTCTCAAGATTAAGGAAAAACAGCCCATGGCTTCCTGTGGTCCAGTTGGCTACAGCATCTGCCAAATCTGGTTCCCAACTTCCCCTAGGACTGTCCCTTTCCCCAGCTCTAATCCTGTGGGAGTCCTCAGACAGATGGGGAATCATCAATGAGGCAAGGAAATACATTGTGTTTGCTCAGACCCTCACCCTAACCCAGTCCCATCTCCAGTGAGGCCTGACTTCCCTTAAGACGTCAGGGCAAACTCCTCACCCTCTCTCATCCAGGATTCCCGCCTGGCTGACTCAAGAGGTTTCCCTTCCCACTGATGAAGTGTGCAGGGATTTTTGTTGTTATTTCTTTTCTTTTCTTTTCTTTTTTTTTTTTTCCTATTTTCAACATTTTGGCTCTTTTTCCTGCTTGAAACACTTGTCACAGTAAGTTTTTTGTTTTAAAACATAGATTTTATTATTATTATTCAGGTATGGTTTATTGCTGATCAGTGAAGTCTGACTCTGCAACCCCATGGACTGCAGCATGCCAGGATTCCCTGTCCTTCACCATGTCCCGGGGTTTGCTCAAACTCATGTTCATTGAGTCCGTGATGCCATCCAACCATCTCATCCTCTGTCGTCGCCTTCTCCTCCTGACTTCAATCTGTCCCAGCATCAGGATCTTTTCTAATAAGTTGGCTCTTCACATCAAGTGGCCAAAGTATTGGAGATTCAGCTTCAGCAGCAGTCCTTGCAATGAATATTCGGGTATGGTAAGGCCAACAGATCAGAAGGCAGCTGCCACTAAAAAGAGTTTGTTACATATCCCTGAAGAAGGGGGCATACCATGCCAAGTGGGAAGAGGGTGACCACACAAGAAAGCACCCAGAGGTCAGGGGACAGAAAGAGTGGGGGAAAACATGAGAAAATGCTTTTATTGTGGTTTCTGTGGAAAGAACAGTGAAGCAGGGTGAGCATTAGGGTTAGCTAGTTTGAACACCTCCAGCTGGCTCTTGGCATGGGGGCTGGTTCCTGGTAGTCTAGTACCTGGCTCTCTACCTGGCAATTAGGGCAGGTGGATAGAGGCCCAGAGTGTGAAAGCCCATTAAAGGAGATGGTTGAGGTATGACTGACTTGGTTGGTTTCCATAGAAAAGGCTCACTCACAAGTTAGTTTACTATCACAGGTTACTTAACTGATCTCTACGAATTGGCTACCTCTGGAAGAAGCAGTCCCTCCAGGGGCAGGGAGTCCCCAGAATGTGAAAACATCAAAAACACAGATACAGAACAGAATAATGCAATTAACACAACTTCTGAGGTACCCTTGGAGTGACTCAGGCCTCCTGCTGCTGCCAAATGAGCCAGGCTGTATGAAGCCCTTGCCAGTGCATGCTGGAGCCTTGCCCGACTTGCTTTATCATTTATCCCTGGAATCTCAATTCCTTGACCTAAATGTCTCGAGTCTCAATCAACCCAGCAGTCCATTCTTCCTCCTCTGCAGAGTGGTCAAGAACCTAGTGACCTCTCCATGGCAGGTTCTACTATGTTCTAGAGTTCTCATCAGTCAAGTGCAAGTGCCTCCTTGTTTCCGAACTTATACACATTTTTGCCCCCAGCCTGCCGCTCCACAATCACAACTCAGATAGTACACTCTCTAACTCCTCCACTACCTGCTTGTATCCACCCCAGGGAAACTTTCACTCCCCAGTGTTCTCCATTCACTATCTACACTCCTCTTTCCCTGGCCTGCTCCCCACCTCAAGTAACAAACCTGTTCCTGGACACCACAGAGCGCTGGCCACACTGCTTGCACTGGTGCGGGGAGGATGAGAGAGGATGCCTCCATGGGTCCTCACCTTCTCTGTCCCATCTCTCTTGAATCATCCCCAGGTGTGGCCCAACACCATTTTAACATTCCCCATAGGATGGTGAGGCAGGGGATGGTACACACACTTCTCTGTGGGCACCCATTACTTGATGTGAAATAATTTCATCCAGACTCGGGGTGAGAAGGATCTTTAAAGCTGTGTGGATCCCCTTCCCTGATGCCTGTTTTGAATATAACTGGTACTGCAAACCAAACTGCTCTCAGTTCTCACGGCCCCAGGGATGCCCTCTGACCTAAAGACACAGACACAGCATTCAGAATTTCCTTCCCACTTGGGGTAAATCTCAAGCTCATGTAACTCAGAGACTAGGGCACGTCCCTTCTTGGCTCTTATTTTTTGATTGACATCATTATTCATGGCCCTTCATTCATCCATAAAGAATAGATCTGTTGCGTTCTTAAAAAAATTCCACTGGGAATTTTTGATTAGCACTGAACTGAATTTATAAATTAATCCAAGAAGAACTGACATCTTTACTAACATCCTCTCCATGAATATGACATTCCCACATCCCCACGTTTTATCCCTTAACAAACTTAAATTTGTTGTGTAAATATTCATGTATTTTTAAAGCTTTTCCCCTAGATAGTTAATGCTTTGATGCTATTTTGTGTTGTATTTTTTAGCTGTTAAAAATTAGTGTAGAGAAATACAATTGATTTTTTCATGTGAAACATGGAAATCTCACTGATTTCTCTTAAAGGCTTTGTTGTGCACATGTGCTCAGTCATGTTCGAGTCTTTGCAACCCCATGGACTGTAGCCCACCAGCCTCTTCTGTCCACTTTATTCTGATGGATTTTCTATGTAAAAGGTTGTATCATCTTGAAATAATGATGGTTTCATTTTTTCTCTTCCATTTCTTACCCTTCTCCTGTTTCTTGTCTTAGCAGTGGGCAGGTCCTCCAGGAGAATATGAAACTAGTTGATCTGAAGAGGAGTCCATATCTGATCCTTGGCCTTCGTGAGAATGCACCTGAACTTTCTTTTTTATACATAATATTTGCTGTAGAGCAATGATTCTCAAACTGTTCGGCTTCAGGGTCCCATCATACTCTTAAAAATTATTGAGGACCTCAAAGAACTTTTATTTATGGAGACTCTATCAGGATTTATCACACTAGAATGAAAAAATGTTGAAGAATATTGAAACAATAATATATCATTCATGATATGAAGTTTTATGATGACTGAGTTAATTTATGAAAAACTCTGCAGAGTGTCTAATAAATGGTCAAACAAATAAAGATAATAATAAATCCATTATGTTAACATAAATAATATATTTTAATGAAAATAATCTCTTTCCAAAACAAAAAAATAATAACAACAAATATATTAAGTTTACATTTAAAATTTTTAAAAATTTTTTAATTTAAACTTAATCGAAGATAGCTGGTTCTAACATCTGACCCTGCACTCGATCTGTCATAATACATTATTTGGGTTGAAGTATGAACCCAAGTAAGGTGAAAATTCCACCTTACACAGAAACATAGACGGAAAAGGGCAGAGCATTTTAACAGAGTTTTAAGATAATTCAGGCTATTCTTTGATATGATACCAAAACTTTACAAGTGGTAGTTTCTTAAAGGTCAGGTGAATGCAGAAATCTAAAACTATTTCAATAGACCTTTCACACCCAGTACATTCATGAAAAAATTAGAATGAAAAAGGAAAAGAATGTTGCTGTTGAATATTATTGTGAAAATAGTTCTGATATCATAGACTCACCCTGAAAGGGTCGTAAGAGATCCTCAGGTTTGCAGAGAATACACTGCGAGAACTGCTGCTATAGATAATTAACTTAACCTTTATCAAGTCGAAAAGCTTCTCTTATTTTATTATACTGATTTTTCAAAATCATTAGTAAGTGTTGACCGTTATGAAATGCACAGCCGAGAGACGGAGAGGGCTTTCTGTTCCCTGGAACTGACAGCTCAGCACAGGCGCACGGAGCAGTGGAAGGACCTCAGGGCACCCATGAGGTTCCCTGGGGCTGGTCTGTCGGTTTTGAGGCTCAAGGGCTTTGGACATGAACTCAAAGGATTTAGTTTCTAGCAGGGACCATCCTGAAGAAATGGCCAGGAAATCAAGGTCCAGGCTGGAGGCGTCATCCCTAACCACACACCTTCCAGCGGCCTGGAGGCCGCCATCTTGGAGCGCCACATCCCAGGGCCGCGCCTCAGTTCCTCCACTGCTGACAGGACAGAGGCCTTCCCGGTACTGGCCACCAGGCATATCAGGACTCCCTCATTTCCTCAGGCTTGCACAACCAGGGAAATGACCTGTGGATGAGGACAGCCATCGGTGTCCGGTAAGTCACCCTTTGCAGATCCGTAGGAGAAATGACCTGCAGGTACACTCCATGGGCATCAGACCAGCTGTTCTCCTCACCCCGTGACCCGCCCAGGGATGGCTCAGTATAAATACAGCCACCTCTCCAAGCAGGCAGGGACCAGCAGCTCTCCTCCACTGGGGATCAGGTGAGGAACCGTTTCAAGGAGCCATTTCTTTGAAAACTCTTACTTTAAAACAATTTTTTTCTGATTTCTCTTTCTCCTATATGTGGTCAGTGCTGGCAGAGTGGTGCATGGGAAATGCTTTTTGATTAAAGACAGGCTGCTTTAGTAAGACACAACTTGGACCCAACTGTCCTCTTCTTCCACCAAAGCCACCTGGGTGACCTCTTAGACAGTCTTGGGTTCAGGGTTGGTGGGTTCAGAATTGAGGGCGTGAGGCTGCCAGTAATGTCCTACTGCAGTGTTTCCTAGTAGGACCACTACTACTATTTCTAGTGGAAATGAACAGCCAGGCTCTCCTTGACATACAAACCCCAAAGTGGAGCGGGGTGAAAGTCTTGTCCGTGTCTCCCTGACCCTCTTGTTTCCTTTCAGCACAATGAAGCTCTTCACAGGCCTCATTCTCTGCTCCTTGGTGCTGGGAGCCCACAGCCTGCTTTCCTTCCTTGGTGAGGCTTTTGAAGGTAAGACTGATGGAGGGGCGATGGCATCCTTGGGCCTCTACGCTTCACCCTAAACACCCCTGAGGGTTGGAGCTGGGGTCCTAGGAGGTGTTCCCCTATGTGGTAGAATATGACAGGTATTGGGGGAGCTTTTTTCAGACAGTTTGAAAAGTACAGGATTTATGTCCATCAGGTACTAGAGAAAGAACGAGTATCATTTCCAGCTGAAATAGCAGTTTGAGTGGAAGACACAAAACAAGTCTGAAATAGAATGAAATTTCCCTCAGACCAATTGCATAAAGTAGGGTGAAACCAATCCATCTGTTCTCTTCTCCTGTCTTTCCATCCCTACTCCTCCCTCCCTCCCTTCCTCTCTTCCTTCCTTCCTTCCATTTCCTAGTTGGACAATTCAGAGACCTTCAGAACACCTTGTTGGTCCTACCTATACTCAGTGATGCTGTTCCTGCTTTAGTCTGTTTCCTGTCTTTTTCTAGCCTTTTAACTAATGAAAAAAAATGTGTGTGTGCGTGGAAACCTAACAACAAATGTCAAGCCTCCACAAGGAACTCAGCTCTTACGTGCAATTTAGAGGGACCCACTTTCCTTCTCTGCCCAGGGCTGGAGAGTTTTCCAGGACATTAGCAGCACTAACTGGGCAGTTTCAGGAAGACAGGGGCAGTTCCAGTCAAGCTGGGTCAGTTGGTCATATATTACCTGCAGAGCACCTCCGAGCGGGCATCTTCCTCCACCTGACGGGGAGAAAACCAAGGCTTAGAGCAGCCGAGTCCGTCACCCAGGGACTGAGTGCCCGTCAGCAGGTGGCAGGACAGAGGTGGGAACCCAGCTGTGCTTGAGGCCACGGTACTCACCGACTTCTCCCAGCACCACTTCCTGAAGCCAGGGGCTAATCAATCTTGGCCGCAGTTTGGAGTCACCTGGGGAGCCATGAAAACTATTGCTGCCTGAGACCAGCCCGGAGACGGGGAGGTGACTGGCCTGGGCTCTGAGGGCTCAGGGGACTTTCAGGGTCTCCCCAGATTATTGGACAGTGCAGCCAGGCTGAGGAAAAGACCCACTTCCTCAAGCAGCCCACATCAGCAGTACCATCCACTAGAGAGTTCTCAGGATTCCTTTCACTCACCTAACAGGCAGGGGAATCAAGTCACAAGTGATCCTTTTGTGAGGCAGGAATACATTTCTTAGGCGTCAGAGCAGAGGAGTACGTCTGCCCTTTCTCAGAATCTGTCTCGCACGTCACCTCCTCACTCACCCACGTGCCCCAGAGCTTATCACATGCAGCTTCCTCTACAGCAGTGGATCTGGACCCAGGGCAAGTTTGTTGATGCTTGGGTGCATTTTCAGTTGTCACACTGGGGTATAGTTTGAAAGGTCAAGGATGCTGCTAGACGTGTTATAATAGCCAGGACAGCCCTGACAGCAACAATGTTCCTGGTCTCACATTTCAATAGAATGCTGTTGAGGAATCCTGTCCTGTAATGATGCCTCGCTCTGTCCTTAAACGTATCAGGTAGAGCCCTCGTTGAGAGGCAGCACAGAGACAGCATCACAGGCGTCAGACAAAGAGGTCCCACAGACGTAGCCCTCACCCACCCCACCCAAATGGCGCTCATTCCAATACCAGGAGCAGGCAACTGGGCATAAGGAATGCTCTTCTTACCCTATGGCATTTGTGGTGCTATGAGCACAGGCTGAAACCGAGTCAGTGGGAGATTCTTTATTCCTTGATTCTTCTGTAAGCTGGGTCACAGTTTTCTCTCCACCTGATAATCCTTTCTCCATGTGCTTTGCTTTCCAGGGGCTAAAGACATGTGGAGAGCCTACTCTGACATGAGAGAAGCCAACTACATAGGTGCAGACAAGTATTTCCACGCCCGTGGAAACTATGACGCTGCCCGAAGGGGACCGGGGGGTGCCTGGGCTGCTAAAGTGATCAGGTATCGGGGTCTCTGGGTTACAGGGATGGGTGGGCAGAGCTTGGCTGCCTTGGACAGCCTGGAGGGGCCAAGCCCTGGAGAACTTTCCAGTAGGGTTGTGGGCCCTCCTACTATTAAACGCCCTCCTGCACTGTGCCCAGTGTGAGGTCTGAGTGGGTGAAGAACAGAGCAAGGCTGGTGGGAGAGGCGACTCTCCACCCTCCCCCATGGGTGCTGTTTCCCCAGCACACAGGGGACGTGCAGGGCTGAGCTGGGCTGAGCCCAGGGAGCCTCAGGGTTGTAGCCCCTCTTTCCTGGGCTCCTCTCAGAGTCATTGATTCCTTAGAAAGAGGAGAGAGGGGGAGGGTGGGGCTGGGGCTCATAGTCCTGGATTAATCCCCTCCCTGCCCTCCTCCTTTCCAGTGATGCCAGAGAAGGTATTCAGAGATTCACAGACCCTCTGCTTAAGGGTGCGTCCAGTGGCAAGGGGCGGGAGGACTCGGCGGCTGACCAGTTTGCCAACGAGTGGGGCCGGAGCGGCAAAGACCCCAACCACTTCAGACCTGATGGCCTGCCTGACAAGTACTGAGCTGCCTCTCTCTCTGCTCAGGAGATGGGGCTGTGAGTCCCCAAGGGCGGGGACCCTGAGCTAGAGAGTTCTCTGTCCACAGAAGGCAGCGGATCTAATAAATGCTTAAGAGATGGAATACTGAGACTGCGTGTCATTCTTGGTATGAGGACAGCCTGTTGGTTCCAGGACTGATGGCAGGACAGCCACGTGAAGCTGAGCCTGTGCCTGTGTGTTTGGCTCCAGGACACACCCTCAGCATCATTCAGGACAGACCCCCTGTCCAGCCTTCCCCTAATCAGACCTGCTCCCTCTCCAGGACCCTCTGGTTCCCCCGGGGCCGTTTCCAAGCCCTTCTCAGTCCAGGCCTTCTCCCTCCCTGCAGCTGTGTCCTGCCACCTCCTCTGTCCCCGGTCTAGCTGCCCAGCTTGTCCTCGGTGCTCTCTGCGTGGGGTCAGGGACACAGTCACGGGAGGACTGGACGCTGGAATCCTGCTTCAGCAATTGCCACCTTGATCTTCTGTTCATTTCTCAGCAACTCTTAGAAATCCATCTATGAACCAGTTTCTTTCTGTGCCATCCAGAACTGCCTCCAACACTGTTCCCTGCTAGTCTATTATTTTTTTTTTTCTGGCCTTATTTGAAGCCTAAATGATGACATAGAGCCTCCTTGCTTGTGAATGTTTCCTCATAGCCTCTTATTTTAAGTAGCTCACTTGCAGAAATATTAGTGGGGAGAGAGCAGGACAGAGGTGTCTACTTCTGTAAGTGAGTGTCCAGAAACCAGTTAGTGATTTATAAAGGGAAATTTTCATATGAGGTATTATTAACTGGTTATAGGATTATGTACTAAGAGATTAAGAAATACAGGAAGCTGAGGTTTTGATCTTGTTGTGAAGCCTGTAGCCCGTGGGAAGGGTGGTAAAGATTGCTGGGTGTCCCAATCCAAACCTGACAAGCAAGACGTCCCCCATGTACCCATAAAGCTTGGTATGGAATGGCTCAGGGGTGCAGTTGAACTCACTGAGGATGCAGCTGGGGTTTCCTGCAAACTCACCTGAAGGCAGCACACACGGGGCAGGGGATAGAAGGCCTCTGAGCTCCCTGGAAGCCAGCCGTGGAAATGGCAGTGCTACGGACTGAATGTGTCCCCGCCTCCCCAATTTCTGTGTTGAAGCCCAGCTCCTAATGGAGCTGTTCAGATGAAAGAAGTAAATATGGTTAAATGAAGTCATAAGTGTGGAAGCCTGAGCTGGAAGGATAAGGGTCCTTATAATGTTAGAGACACAAGAGAGCTAGCTTTCTCTTTCTCCTGTAAAGACACAATGAGATGGTGTCCATCTACTGGCCAAGAAGAGCGCTCCCACCAGGAACCAGGTTGGTTTGCAATTGGGTCCTGGACCTTCCAGTCTGCAGACGTGTGAGGAATGAAGTTCTCTGGTTGAAGCCACCTAGTCTGTGGTATTAATGCATTGTTAGGGATACAGAATGTTGCTGAACACCTTGGGAATCCAGCTGCGAGGCCACAGCAGTTGCCGGGAAACTTCAGCGGCTGGGAATAACATAAAAACTCCAGAGTGCCAGTGGGTGTCCTGTGTGTGAGAAGACCGCCCCAGGAGCTGGATGGCAGGAAGGACATGGGACCTGGAAGAGATGGCGGTACCTCCTGCTTGTCCCCCGGAGCCCTCTACTGACAGATTGACATCAGGCCCAGCTGGCACAGGGGAATTGTTGCCTCAGACTGGAAACAACCCAAATGTCCATCAGATGAAGAGTGGATAAACTGTGACTTATCTGTACAATGGACTTCTATTCAGCAACAAAGGGGAGGGAATAAACACGGCTGTTTCTCAAATTATTATATCAAGAAGAAGACTTACACAAGAGTGTATACTTTATATGAAGTTCAAGAACAGGTTAAAAAACTGATATTTAATGATAAAGAACAGTAGTTGCCTCTGGAGGCAGAGGTGACGGCCTGGGAGGGGCTGAGAGGGAATTTCTGAAATGATGGAAGCCTTCAATCTGCTATAACAAAATATCATTAATTGAGTACCTTATAATAAACAGAAATGTATTCCTCACAATTCATGAGGATGGGAAGTCCAAGATCAAGGTGCTAGAAGATTGTATCTGGTGAGACTCTACTTCCTTGTTCATAGATGGCCATCTTATCCCTGTCTTCTCACGTGGCAGGAAAGCAAGGGTGCTCTCTGGGGTCTATGTTATGAGGGCACTAATCCCACTCATTAGAGCTCCACTCTCATGACCTAATCACCTTCCAAAGACTTCACCTTCAAATTCCATCACATTAGGAATTAGGGTTAAACCTTTCTGTTTTAGGGGGATGTAAACATTCAGTCTATAGCAATAATTTAAACATAACAATTATTCAATAGAAAATGCATCCCCAACAAATAAATATATCATATACCTTAATAATCTATAATATGGATGTATAACTAAATTAGTAAAATATACAGTGTGAAGCATTTAGGAATATAAAAGTAAATCTTATATGGCCTTGCCCTAAAGGGACGTGTCGTCTATATAAAATCAATGGAAAATTGCAGTGAGGGAGGAGAAGGAGCATCAGGTCAAATCAGGTTGAGGGCACAGAGCAGGCAGGAGAAGCCTTGTACTTGGGGCTTTAAGAGGGCAAGGCAAGGAAGCCACATGAGGAACTCTTTCACGAACCATACATTTTGTAGTTGGTTTTTCTGATGAAATCGGTAAAGTAATAAACTTAAAGATAAGTGATTTAATCTGTTAAATAGAAATTTATCACAGGCTTGAACTAAAAATTCACTGACTTAGTTATTTACTAAGTCCTTTATTCAATAATTATTTAACAAATATTTGCTGTGTTTACCCTATGACAGGCCCTGGGTGAAGCTAGAGTACGTCTTGTCAAAATTAGGGATGACTCCTTTTTTGGGGGTTAGGCTGAATTTTAATTCTTTTAGTTGTTTTGAGATGGAAATTGTAGGACATTTAGGGAAAGAGTTGTCAGAAACATTTAATTTGTCCTCTTGGTTGAATGCAGTGACCAAACATATTTACGCTTTCCGTGTACTGCTTTCAACCTTCTGCTTGAAGTGGATTTCTTCAAAAGTGGAAACAGTCCTGGGCCCCAGAATTGGCAAAGTTCCCCTAGGGATGGGGTGAAGGCCCCTGAATAAGGTAATCTGTCAGACACTGCACTTTGTTTAAGAGGCATTGTCTCACTTAATCATTATCAGGATGATTGCTGTCTTAAGAAAATTCACCATACTGATAGGGCCAAAGCTGGTATACAAAACCACGTCTCTATGACCTCAAAGCAGAGGCTATCCTCTGCCCTGTGATTATACCACCAAGAGGCCTTGTAAGCAAAAGTCATGGAAGGGGACAACACCCATGTAAGAAGACTGTGATGACCCAGACCATTCCAAAATACAGATTGCAGTTACTCTCGTAGGCAAAGGTGAGGTGGAATAATTGGTAGGAGAAGGTATATGTTCACAGCAATAGCAGCCATGTGACCAGTTGGAAAGGATTGTCTATTGTTAGTATTTCTGTAATGTGAATGCTTATATATATATATCTCACAAATATTTTTCTTCTCTTCTATTCCTTTATCATCATATAGAATATGTACTAATAGCAGTTAACTGTATAGCTCAGTGTTTAAGTTATAGGATTTCAAAAAGGGAGTATAACTCACTAGAAAAAGAATAAGCATAATATATTAGAAAAGCAAAAAGAGACTTTATCCTCTTTGTGGAAAAAGGTTGGTATGTTTCAAGTGTATATGGGATAAGTACAGCATGTGTGGGAAGCTGGACTTTGCTATTGTCTTTATTTGGAATTAGCTATAGGTTAGGGAGGTGGTTACTGGTGCCAAGTTGACAGGGAGTGGACTGTGATGGGTCTGAAGTTGAAGTGTCAGCTTGGCTAGGCTGAACAATGTTTCTCACAACTCCTTTCTCTTTATGCTTCTACTTAAAGTGGGCATAAAGAGCTAGTTTGCCCAAGATGTGGTGGTTGGAAAGAAACCAGCAGTCCTACTGTTTCTGTGTGTGGAAGGTTGGCGCTGGGGGACCAGGATGTTCATGCGCGTTGTGGCTTCTCTCTTGGCTCATCTCATTGGCACGAGGCAGCCGCTGGGCCTCCAGCCGCTCCGCCTTCCCCTGACGCTCCTGCAGCTGCTCTGACTCCTGGACCAGGTGTGTGGTTAGCGCCATAGGAAGGCAGCCAGCTTCTGCAGACTTCAGCAAAACCGCAGGTGCTGGGAGAGACTGACCCAAGTTCTGCTTGGTTCTCATGGGTTTTAGCTCATGATCCTGAGTTCCAGCTTGTCCTGTGGGCCTCAAGCTCTAGCATCAGACAAACAGGCAACAGCCTTGTAGAAACAGTCTAACCAGAACCTACAACTGTGTCTGATCAAATATATGTACATATTTACACAATGATATAGAGAATCTTCTGTAAGTACTACTTCTCTGACTGAACCCTGATTAATACAGAATCACTGCATGAAACTACTGACACCTCCCTGGTTTCCTGAGGAAGGCTTCCTCCACTTTTCTTCACCTCAGCTGTGTTGTCCAAAGCTCTCAGAAGAGCCAACTTGAGGGCCAGCTGCCCCTGTCTCAGATGCTTAATGGTCAACAAAAAAGCAAATGATGGGGTTGGCACTGCTGTTAACAGGACCATCCCTGTCTTAAAATAATGTAAGGACATGTTGAAATCCTCTTGAAGCTGGTGCAGCAGAAAACTTTGGATGCGAAAATGCAGGCTGCTGAGCAGGGAAGATCAGCACTGTGAGCAGGATGACCATGCAGAGCCTGGTCAGCTGCACCTGCTGGGACTCACAGAGGATCCTGACCAGCAGGGCCAGGCTGGAGCTAGCAAGAACCACCAATAAGATCATCAGTTACCCAGCAATGATGAAGTCAAATACTGGACACCAATCACAGCCAAAACCCCTAAAAGGAAGCCACAATAGTTCTCTTCCAGAAGATTCAGCAGCAGACACA